ATGCTCTGCAACAAGCTCTCATCCATACAGGTTAAGCATAGAGATCTGATATTACTGAAAGGGGACTCTTAAAGCCGCTGATGATACACAGTAAATCCAGTAGATCCAGRAAAAAATATTTTTATTGTTTCTGACCAGTTATTTTTGTTTCCTACACACAAAAAGGGCCATTTAATTTTGACATTTATTTATTCTTGCTGTCTTCTATTCTTTTCTATTTCCATTTTTCCTGAACACATCCTGAGAAGCAGTCCTGCTTTGTACTCAATCGGACCCTTTATAAACACATTCCTCAGAAAACAGAGCCTTAGACAGGGGAAAACCAACCTTTATCTCATARATGTCTTGAGATTGTAATTTTAATGGGATTACAGCACAAATAAAGGTAATAGGTTTGAAATTATCATGAACTTTGAGGAGAATATTACCTTGAAAAAGATCTAAGGTAACTGTTTAAATTTTTGTGTGAGTGTGTGTGAATATTGGAGTCGGCTCATCAAGGAGGAAAGAGCACAGAATTACGCTTTCTCTGGTTTTGTCATCCCCCAACTGTCACTGATTGTTTAAAGRAAGGTTTTGAAAATGTTTGGAGTATCATTTCAAGGTCAAGTATCTCCAGTTCTGTGGAATGCTACTCTAGTAGACAAGCATGATTGTTTCTCTTCAGCCTTGGAAGATTTTGACATTTGAGTCTTTGTATTGAACACAATGGCTCAGTTCCCAAAAGAAGGCTAGAGAGCATCCTTACCAAGAGAAGTCTTTAGCATCAGCTCCAAACACAGAACTGAAAACACTTGAAAAATAAGAAAATTTTATCACATCCTCGACAGTGAGTGCTTTGCCATCATAAAAATCAAAGGTATACCTTCTTTTACTGAGTCCTATAGGAGTGACTTGCATGCCACACTACCTGGGATGAATTTAAGTTTCCTAGCTTTTCAGTTAGCTGTAATGGTGGTTACCTTTGAGGCTTGCAGGTCTTTTTTCTGTGATACTGARTATCAGATGTGCTCCCATTACAGCCTGCCAGGCTCTGCTCAGTGGAGTTGAAGGGTTGACACCCTCGCTATGTCAYCATCATATCTGGGATATGCATGCCTATCCAGTTTTCTCATGTCACCAAGCTGCCAATCTAGAAAGGCACAAGACTTTCTGACAGCACTGTGCAGAARCTTGAGATGCTCAGGGGCCACCTAGATAGCACTTGAGACTAATTTTCAGAGCAGCTAAACCTTGCCTGCATTCCCTCTTTAGAGCAAACTGAAGCACTCTCTGTTCCATTGTCTGTGCAGATAAACTCAGACTACAGTGGAAGCTCAGACTCTGAGGTCAGTGGCCAATATCTGTCTGTAGACATGTCAACGTGATCTGCAAATACAGAGATGAAACACATCAAAGACTCAATCCAACACACGTTTGCATTTACTGAACACCTAAAACAGCCAAAGCATCTGCACTGAGCTGGCATATATGATAGTTTATTGAGAGAAAGCCTGCACTCCTCCAGCGGTGCAGTGTGAGGTCTGATAGGATACCTTTAGGGTTCTTAAGTAGCATTAGATGCTGACACACAGATGCAGAAATCAAGCTGTCACTCCTGTTATGCATAAAGAGGTAAGAGTTGTCACCTCACTGCCTTGCTCTGAGGATGCTTGCTGCCTCTGAGCACTGTCTTGCTCTTAGCCCGAACTTTGTAGATGGAAAACAAGACAAAATAGTTAGGACAGTACATTAAATTGATCCTGCCAGCGCTGCTGGGAAAAAACCCAACATCCAACTTGACACTTTAAATGCAGGTCCTTTTGATTTGAACAGTTGAAATAATTCCTTACAATGTATTTCAGTAAATGTTTGCTACTTACCAGCAGTGTTAGCTAGCAATATGAAAACCTGCAACTTCAACACGTAAGCCTGTATTTGTTTTTACAAGCAGTCGAATAAATGGCCGAATGCATTATAAATTATTCAACATTTMTTCATTAAGAACAATGTTTTCTTAGCACCTGCTCAAAGTACTCTCATCGGAAAAAAATAAGAGTTGAAATTTGGCCTTTAAAATTCATTCTGTAATGAAACTAAAATGTAAATATAGCACAAATCACTGAAACGTTCAGATAGAATGTATTAGAAAGATTATGCAAGTTATAAATCTGTGCTATAAGAATAAAAGTATTTTTCTCATCCATAATGTGGAAAACAGCTGTTTAAATTTGTTTGTGAGCTGAAATCTTTGAATCCCACCATCTCAGAATGCAGATGACAGTTTTATCTGCTGGTTCAGTCTGGTACAGAAAGTGGAAAAGGAAATAGCAGTGCTACCTGTACAAGTATTTTTGTATGTTTTAACTCAGAAAACTGCAAATTATGACATTGCAAATAACTTTCAAACAGTTTCCTCAAAATACTTCCCAGACTGTTAAAACAAAGCATTAAACTAGTTCCTGCAACTTTTATCTCATTGAGCAACTACTCTATACAAACCTACTCTACARGAAATGAGGGTGCCAAATATCTTTATTTCCACTTTAAATTTCACTAGACATCTCCTCTAAACTCAAATTGTTTTGGTAATGGAGATAAACATGCTTATCTCCTCAAACTCCTGTTCTGAAGGAGAGTGGTCTAAAAGCAAGTTTTTAGTTACAGCTGAAAAGTATTTAATAATTGTTCTGCATTGTTTTTTTTCTCTAGGTTACATAGGTGAGAGGAATACAGAAACTGAGAGATGCTGAGCACAGTTCAGGGAAGGTGCCAGCCAGCTTTCAGCATGGCTCTGATAATGCACCTGAACCATGAAAAGAAACACTCTGCATATTAAGCTGATGTTTCTGTTGGCAGACTTGGTTTGTATCTCCACTTACGCCAAACTGCAAGGTATTTTTGTGATGCAGGCCACTGCTCCCAGAAAGTTCATTGCTTTGAACCAGGAGGTGAAACATTAGTCATTTCMTCATCTTTGTGTGTTTGAGTATTTTAACGCAATCTTCCCCAAACAGCCTTTAGGGGCAGAAAATTTACAATGAAACCCCAATCAGTAATCCAAGGTTTGCCACTGCTGTCAGGGAGGCCACATTTTGCTAATACTGTACCTCTCCTTGGATGTCCTGCTAAGAGTCGGAGCTTTTTTACATTTTTCTCAGTGGGCTCTGGCACAGTAGCGTGTTTGAACCCTGATACTGAAAAATGGAAATAAAAGACTGCAAGATTAATTGTTTTCTGAGTTTTGACACAAGAAAAAGCAAATAGCTCTAATTCCCCTTCCACACTTTTAGATCTCATCTTTTATTGATATTCAGCCAGGTATTAGGTTAGTTTTGCATCAAAACAGTAACTTCAAAGAGTTCTTTTAAAAAGAATAAAATGAAGGAGAAAGAGAAGACTGATTTTCTCTGTCCACTGCCACTGGGCTCACTGCCCATTTCATGTCTTTCATTTTTTAATTTGTTAATTCTAATGAAAAAGTGTTTGCATGGCAAGTTCAGGAGGCTTTGGCAATACAAAACTTAGGACAATCTCATTTTTTATAAAAATGAACAAAGGGCACCCACTCACTSTAAGATTGTTCAGTGGATACTGTAAATGAATGAGACATTTATTTTTGTGCCAGCTCAACTACCAGTGTCGAGAAGATTTGCATACATTTTGGCAATGGCAACTTGCACAAGGTGGTAATAAAATAGGCCTTTTATATCTGAGTCTAATTTACTTTGGTTATACTCATTAAAAATGTGTTTTCATGTGAAAGGAATTTCAGTAAAGGATACTTTGGAAACAGCAACATCACAGAAATGTTTGCTATACAGCCAGCATCAAGAATTTTACAGCTGAGAAAAAACACATTTTTCAGGAAGAAAATYCCGGGTTCTATGAGTGACTCCTGTTTTGTTGTTTTTTAATCACYGTTAGGCTCAACATTGCAGGTTTAACTATCATGCTTATTACTTGGTGTTAATAGCTGTATGTTTTTTAAGTAACACAAAATATGGAGTAAAAAACCCAGCTCACTGAATATTTTGCCATTTTCAGTGACATTACCCTTCGAAAGGCTACTCACAGAAGCAAAAATCTGCTCYATGATGTCTTATTCAGAGTAAATTCTTTTGCATAAGTAAGAGTATTGGCGTGGCTGAAGGTTTGATTTTACACCCATTTTCTTTAAATGTGTAGAAAATCATGAGTGAAATGCTTCATGAGCACTACTTTGGTTTTAACAGGCTCATAACATTAAATTTTATTGCGCATTAGGAACATGCTTGATCTAAACAAACAAAAAAAAAGGCAACTAGAACAGCATGTTTAAACAAAGCTTAATCAAACAGGGTCCAGGCTATGCATTTGTCAAACCTGAATAAAAGTATCTGCCCAGTGTCACATGAACACTCACTAAAGGATCAGGATTACCTGTTTATTTGTTTCTTAAGTCTTGGGTTTGCTCCTGTTTAAACTGTCTTGAGAATATATTGGACTGCTAATTGAAATAAGAGAAGAGCAATGAGAAGAATCCTGTCTTTCAGTTACCTTGCCTCCTTGCTGAAGAGAAAAATGCAGAGGATCCAGCTTCATCACCACAGCAATTCACAGCATCTGTAATACTGAAGCTGTTTCTGAAGATATAATGTAATTTTTCTTCAGAGATAAGCAACAATGTCTTTTTGTGGCAAATGCATTTCAGGGGTACACACCATTTTCATATTTTGATAATATGAAAATAAAGGAAAATAGGTGATTGACTACAAAGCTCTGACAGGCTGAATTATTTTTTCATGAAACACAGCTATCAAATCTTGCCCAAACAGAAAATATTCTAACCCGAAAAAAMCAGTCTTTTACTATAGTCAGAATGCCAAAACCTAGGTATTATGTTAATACTGTTACTTAGGCTAAGTAGAACCGGTATCTATTAGAAGCCCTAACATTTCAATAGGTTCAAGGTGAAGTAATGTGCCAGTCACAGACAGAAAAAACAAAAACTGCCTCAAAAAAAAAAAAAAAAATTGCATTCCCTACTTTCAAAACAGGTACAAGCTGCTGCACCATTTGCATCAGCTGAAATACAGCATTAACAGTCATTAATGAAGTGTGCTAGTTTTTGAAAGTATGACATGTCAGACAAGAGAGCCAGCACCTAAGCACTTGTGAAAAATACATTTCTTATAACTGAAATAATACTTAGCATTCTACTTGAAATTCTAGGAGAGAGAGAGTAAGTTATTATGAAAATATATAGCTTTAATTTGCAGACATATAAACACTTTTGGTACATTACAGACATATGATGCGAGAAATCAAAATAATAATTTTTAAGCATAACACTAATTTATCTTGTTCACACAGAGAAATTTGATGCAATCATCATACAAAAGATAGTTCTCAGCTCTTAAAATGAAGTGAAAGTAATACATCACTGATAAAATTGCTGCTTTGTTGCAGAGGATACAGCAAAGAATAAATTATCAAGAAAATATGCCACCAGTCTTACAAGTCAGATTTTGGATCTAATCCAAAATCAAAGCCAATGAAAAGGAGCCAGGAATGGTCGCCAAAAGTCAGAAACAAGATCTTTCACATGGAATACCAATCCRGAAAGGAGCAACAGTCAGAATTTAAAAAGTCCTACAATTCCTTAGAATGTGATTTTTGTTTTCATCTGGCAGATCAGATTCAGAAGTAACACATAACAGAAATCTACTACACAACCAAACTGATGGAATACTACCAACAGATTGCTCAAAGTACAAAAAAATACCACCACTTTTGTGACAACTAAAGATTTAGCCATTCCCTTGCTTCCTTGCATCTGGCATGTGTATGAGGATGAGCATGGGGCTCTGTCATTATTTGCTTTAGGAAATATTAAATATAATTTTTCCATAAAAATGTCCAGTGGATTGCTGGAGAAAATGATAATGAGGGTGAAATTGGGAGAAAAATGAATGATATGTCACAGCAGTTCAGATTCTCATTACAATATCTTGCATTCTTGCTCAACAGGAATTGCACTTCTTGTTAATGCCTCTTCTATCCTACTGTATAAGCTTTACTTGTGAGGTAATAAACATTCTGGTTTTCATTACTAGTGCATTTTAATATACTTATTCTTTTTATTATACATACATCGGGACAGACATTTCCTCTTTTTTTTTTTTTTTTTTTTTTTTTTTTTTTTTTTTTTTTTTTTTTTTTTTTTTTTTGTAGTGTTTAAATGTCTGTATGCCAATAGGTATTTTATATTAAAATCAATATATTTAAAATATATTCTGTTTATCTCACGGACAGTACCTCGAACAGTTCCCTGCTCAGGAGCATCTGATGCCCTCTCGTGGTTAAAAAGACTTTTAAAACTTGAGTTTAAAAGAATCATCTTACCTTCCCCTTTTTTATGTTCACTGATCTTATTGATTTATGGAAGTTGGAAATGATGTCCATGTTTTTATAGTCAGGGTGCTAGCTGTTAGTTACTAACTTTTCATAAAAAAAGCTGTACACTGAAATTGAATTTAAAAAACTGTAAACAGCTATTTACAATTATAATATCATTAAGTTATAAATTAGCAGTCCTTCATTGCAACCTCTGTCAATACAACCTACAGCTAGGTGTTTTAGTGTTGTCCGGGGTTTTTCAGATGTTGGATTTATACACAAAGAAACATCAAATGTTAGAAATCTCCATTGGTTTCTTCTCCAACATGTGCAGGTTAATTCTTCCATTTAATGGGATTTGTACTTCCAAGTTTTCATCTGCTCTGTGATGCTTTTTCCCTTTTCTTAGACAAATGTAAATTCCCATCCCTGTTACTAAAGCAATTGAACCCAAGCTTATTATTGAAAGAGCTACCAAGGTAGGCATGCAGGACGCTGACTCCATTTTTTTATGTGTAGGCTCTATGGATATTTGTGGCTGCTTTTCTTCTACACTGATATCAGGCTCCTTTCTTAACAAACTTTCGATGTAGCTCTCATTGCTGACGGTGTCATTGACGAAAAGGTTCACCATGACAGTGGAATGCAGAGGTTCTGGGTAGCCGTGATCACTGACTTTAACGAGCAGCCGGTATAAGCCATAGTCATTCTGCATCAGTGACTCTTCCAAGGTGATATTACCAGTCTTGGGGTCAATCCTAAATGATTCAGGGCGAGGGCCTCTTCTTCCTATGATACTGTAAGCTATGACTGCATTCATGCCAGTGTCCTTATCGACAGCATAGACCTCAGTGATGGGAGAGCCAGGAAGGGTGGAAGGAAGGACCAGCAAGTAAGACATATTAGATTGAGGAAACAGGACCAAAGGAGGGTTGTCATTTATGTCCAGAAGAAGGATAGTTATTTTTGCTGTAGAAGACAGGGCAGGATCACCACCATCAACTGCTTCAATCCACAGAACATAGGAGCTTTGCTGCTCCCTGTCCAGGGAGACCTTAGCTCTCAAAACTCCTTTTCCTGTATCTATGACAAAAATATCACTTCCATTCAGAACTGAAAGGGCAACCCATCCATTTTGCCCTGCATCAGCATCTGTGACACTTATAACTCCAATTTCACCAAAACCTGGAAAGTTTTCTGGCACGAAAAAGCTGAAATCCTTATTGATAAATCTTGGACTGTTATCGTTTTTATCCAATACAGTGATGGTGACAGTTGCTATTGATTCTCTTGGAGGGAATCCAGAATCTACTGCTTTGACAGTGTATCTGTATTTCTCTTTTTCTTCTCTGTCCAGTTGGGTGGAAACTGTAAGAACTCCTGTGGTTTTATCTAAAGCAAAATAAGAAGGGGCATCAGGACCTAAGAAATAGGACACTTGCCCTCTTTCTCCACTGTCAGCATCAGTAGCATGCAGTTTGGTCAAAAAAGCATTGGGAACATTGTTCTCCTCAATGGACAATTCTATCAACTGCTCAGAGAAAACCGGTGAGTTGTCGTTGTCATCCAGAACCTGTACTTTGATGACTTTCTTGACATGAAATCCTTCTGAGTTCCACGCAACTACAGAGATTTCATACAGCTGCTGCGTCTCAAAGTCCAAAGGCTTGGTGGTCTCCAACAGGTACTCATTGTTGTACGGCTTGTACGGTGTAAGTCTGAAAGGCCCATCCCCATCCAAATAGCAACTGACTTTGTATTTCTCATCAGGGTCTTTGATGGTGAAAAATGCTATAGGGGTGTTGATAGGCTCCAGTTCCTTTAAGTAGACCACCCCTTCTACCTCATTAGCTATGAAACGAGGAACAACTTCAGGTGGCCTCATCATGACTTTGATGATGGTCACCAGCACTGTGATCACGGCAGGAATACACCCGGGACCGTTGCCCAGTATGATCAGCCTGTGCAGCCTTGGAGTGTCCCCATCAATTTTAGCGGAGAGTGTGACGGCTCCTGTGCTTTCATTCAGGTGGAACAAGTCTCGGGATGGCTGTGGAACCTTCTGGCTGTAGGAGTAGGTGATCAGGGCATTGGATCCAAGGTCCATGTCTGCCGCGTGGACAGTAGCCACGTGTGTCCCCAGGCTGGAATTGCCATAAAGGGTGACGTTGAGCTGAGAGTCGTTGAACTGGGGACAATTGTCATTGATGTCACTGATGCCAATAGTGAGGGTGGCACTCCCCACRAGTGGAGGTGTCCCCCCATCCTCAGCGACGATGACTGTGACATACTCGTCCTGTGTCTCCCTGTCCAGTGCCCCCATCACAATCAGGTAAGGCGTCCTCTCCCCGTTCTCATTCTCCTCCACGTCCAGGGTGAAGACGCCGTAGTTATCCCGCAGGCGGTAGGTCTGGACGCTGTTGGTGCCCATGTCGGGGTCAAGGGCAGGGTGCTCGATGGCCAGGCGGGTGTTCACAGGGGCGTTCTCGGGCACCGAGAGACGGATGTGGGGCACRGGGAAGCGGGGCGCGTTGTCGTTGATGTCACGAATAGCAATTTTTACCTTCACCAGGCGAAAGTACTCCTGAGGCAGTACCAGCACGTCCAGCAGCAGCAGGCATGACTCCGGGGAGGGGGAGGAAGAGGAGACAGCAGCTGATCCCCCCAAGATGGTGGCCCCACTGCTTTCCACACACAGTGCTTCCCGGTCTATCTCCACGGCTGAGGTGTGCAGCTCTCCGGAGCGGTTGTCCAGCTGCACATACTGTCCCCCCAGGCCGTGGGAGGCCAGGGTGAAGGACAGTGGGGGCTGCAGGGATGCAGGCTGCTGCCCAGCAGCTGTCGGGAGGTGCAGGTCACGGGCCAGGCTGCCGATGAGCACGCCAGCAGGCAGCCCCTCGTTGAGGCTGTAGAAGAGCTCAGTGGCACGGCTGTAACTGGCAAAGCAGTTGAAAGGCCCAACGAAGATCAGGAAGAGGAGCAAGTGCTGGGAAGAGAGTGGCACAGGGGTGTAAGGAAGGGCTGGCGCCTCCCCCCGCCCACTGCCTCCCCCACTGCCACTTGGAGCACAGAGTGCTGCATCTGCAAAGTGAATCCATCCTCCCTCTCCCCACCATCCTCCCAGTACAGCAGCTACTTCCAGGGCATCACCATCTGTACCCTCCAGGCAACACCAGCTGCATTCCCCACAGCAAATCCGCGCTGCCAGGATGGCCCGGGGCACCCTGCCTCCCCCCGCCCCCCAGCAGCACTTGCGCCCCGACGTGCCATCTTCCCCCTTGCCTCTTCCCCAAGCTCTCCCCCATGTCACCAGCGGCACCCTCCCTCCCAAGCGCATCCCAAAGCGGGGCATCCCCCCCAACATTTGGTCGCCCTCTTCCCCTTCCCCAGCAGCAACGCGAAACGCGCTCCCAGGTGCCCCCAACCCCAGCGCCGTCCCGAAAGCTGCTTTTCCCGCATGTCCCCGGGCCCCGGGAGCCGRCCGCTCCGCACAGCCCGCGGGAGTCTCACGGAGGTGCCACGCTCCCGGCGGGTCCTTGCCTCCCGCTCCATCCCCGCCACCACGGGCCCCGCCGCCCGCGCAGGGTCCGTCTGCGGCCGGCGGCCAACGCGGGTGCGGAGAGGAGCCGCGGAGGGGCTGCGCGGAGCGAGCTGCCCGCGCTGGAGAGCGCGTCGCCCACAAGATAGGAAGGGGTTCCCCGAAAGTAACTTCAGGCATCGTCTCCACGAAGGAAATTTTTCTTCCTTCCCCTCTTTTTAATCACCCATTCCCCCTTTCCGCGGCTCTCTGCCACAACCCGCGTCGGCAGCAGCAACAAATATAAACTTTTCGCGGCTGCCCTGATCTTTGGAGAGAAAAAGACCCAACGCGCACATACGCGCACATACGCGCACACACGGCTTGGATTGTTTGTTTGGTTTTTGGTGGGATTTTTGCCAAATTGTCGCCAATGTCGCCGCTGCGTGCGAAGTCGGGCTCGGGTGGCCGGACGCGGCGCGTCCCCCCCTCCCTCCCGGCCCTCACCTGCAGGCTGCCCCGGGCGCTGGAGCTGCCGCGACCGCCCGGGGGCCCCA